CATATCAACCAAGAATGTCTGAAATATACGATTCATACAGTGAAATTTCGAGATTGTGTTATGAACTCAAACGGACAGGGCAAGGTAAGAGAAACCAATAAGGACTCAGAGTTTACTCTAGGCTACTTGCACTGTTTAACGCATCAATGATTTGGCACAGTGCCAATGTCATATAAGTTGGTGTTTCTAAATGATGATTCAGCCATATGATATTTGACGGGACTTAGGACATAACACATTTCATGATATATTGATCAACACATAATTCTGAGATTTTAGATAAGCATAGATTACCATTTACTCTTAATTTTTATTAGTGACATCAAATATTTTTCACAAACATATCCAACTTCATCTAAACATCATTCACAAGTAAAATGATCAATCAATTTGAACATTCGACAATATTTCTTATTAGTTACCACAGCAAATAATATACTAACTTAGGTACTGATGTTGTGTAAAATCAAATTATCAAAATAGTACATACACTTCTATACTAAAAACATTGAATAGTATTGTTTCGAATCTAAAATTTATGCTACATTGTCCTTGAATGAAGAAAAAATACAATCCAGTTAGTGGTAATTTCCAATCAAACATTTAACAGTCCAGTAGATTAATCTACAAATTAGAATAGTCCATGACATATCATATTTCATTCCACAAATATATAAAAATGTTTATATGTTTTGTGTTTTTCATTAGTTTTTTTAATAAGATACTAAGAGATGAAATAGAAAACCTAAAGAAAATACAAATCAATTGTGAATAAATCACTAATTATATTTTTATAAATGAAAATTATGGAATCTGTAATAATACTGTGGTGTAGGTTACTTATATCCACATAAGTAGTATATAACAGTGATCAGGCGTAGAATGTATTTCAGTAGAAGGTCGATGAGAAAAGAACGGGAACGGAACGTAAGTGGTATGAAAACATATGAACAATGAAATTAGAGACAATGGATTGATGTTTGCACCAGGAACAGTCAAGTTTGAAATGGTGGATTGGTATTTTGCAAATTAACGATTTACTATATGGTTCTCATATTTTATTCAGATGCTCTGTAATTTTATGCTCAAATACATTCGATTGTCCCCAATTGTGGTCTGTTCACTACAATACTACTGATTACATCACATTTAATTTTGATATAGACATTAACTGTTATCAGTTGAAGTACAATCAATTTGAAATATAATTAAAGAAATATTTGTAAATTATCGATTATTGTTTTGTATAATGTGTTTGAATTTAGGTAAGTTTTGTTAGATATCCCAGATATCCGGTTTTTCTTTCGTGATGTTGACAGTAATTGTCTACGGTATTATAATATATATACAAGAATTGAGTTAAATATAACTGAAAATAAGATGAAATTCATCGTTTAAACAATTCAATTTGTATTATTATTAATAAAGCAGTTATTAATAGATACTTGACAATACGAAAGAAATGTTCATCTCTGATCAATGTCAATTACATAATCAAAGAACAGTGGGTGGCTGGTTATTCTTACTTTCTGACTTCATACTAACATCATTAGCTGGTTTCTAACCTAGGACCCTGCGGCCCTTTGAAGACCACCATGGATCTGAACGATTGAATCAAACGTTCATGATTTCTATCCCTAACTATGATTAAAATATGATGTAGAACAATCCTCACTCTATACTACTGGTGTCATTTTGACAAGGTAGCTCTAAATTTTATTGCTTTCCATAGGATATTGAAACGAATCCTCACAGAGTAAGTCAATATTATTTATAATATTCATTTACTAGACAATTTGTGATCGTGGACGCGCACTGCTGAGGAGTCCCACGATAGGACAAAACGACCTTCCAGTGCTACCAGGTTTCCAAAGGTGGTCTAACATCAATCGGTTCATGATCTCAATCAAAAACTTAATAATCTGCACAACTCTTTACTGAAAATAACTGTTTGCTAGTCTTACCACTTGATTATAAAAACATTTCAGTAGTTAGCAAAAAACTTAATAAAATGTTTGTCTGGTTTCATATATGATATTTATGAGTAGTATTTTATGTAAATAATTTCACTGTGATCATTCTGTGAATTGTCTTCTCAAATTCAGAATCAAGTCATTTCCAAATAATGTAATGAAGTTAACTTAATTTTTTATTCAAGTATTGGGCTGAAATTCTAAACTTATTTATTTCTCTTTCATATCTCACTAACGAATACATGAAATTTCTTGTAGCATGGATAGTATCGCATACACTTAAAGGTAATTTAGTTGTGTTGGGCACAGATATAACACAGAGAATAATTTATAATTGAGTTAGAAAGTATGACATAAGTAGTAATGATTTTCACAATTTTTGTTTACAAATAGACTTAGACTTCTATATCTAACTACTTTTGATTTGTAAACATTATCAATATATAATATAGGAAACAATCTACTTTGAAAATGTTTCATAAGCATGTTGAGTTAAATATAAATTTCTAACCAACTAAGCATACAGAAACATTATCTCCGGAATCATTTTAAAAAGTATTCATTTACTGGATTAATTCAGCATTAATTTGATCAAGATATATTTGAAGTGAGTTTTATTAACCTCTACGAGTTAAAGAACTGAACAGTTTTGATAAAATATTCTGTGAAGTTCATACATGATGAAAATATTGATTATAAAAATGAACAATTGAATCATGAAATTAATAAAAGTGGAAATAGTATTAAACGGAAACAAGTATAATTGTTTAGATACTCAGCTTATTATCACATACGCAATATAACTCACTAAAAATTATTACCATATTAAGCTTTGCTTATTTCAAATTATTTTTTTCAACATTAATTTCGTTGAAAGTTATTTGGCTTCATGGAATTGGGCTTATAGCCTAAGGGTTCAGTGACATTAACAGTATCTGTAAATCATTGAATTGAAATTTCCCGTAAGCTCATGATGAAATCTACTCAGAACAAAGCATATCAACGAAACTACTTTAATTAATAATAGTCATATATCTACTAGCGAACCAAGTCGTAATAAATTTTCTAATCTTCTGACAGAAAAATCTAACCTTCATAGCTTTGATTTTGAATGAGTTTTGTTACAATTTAATCAGTTCTATAAATTGTTTGAGTTATCAGAATATTAAATGTTCGATTTTAACCCAGCTCATTAGATGATTTGTGGTTGTTGCAAAGATCATTAGATCAATAGTATCATAAATTATTTGGTCAAGAATAATTAAATGCTTCTTACCTATTCAGTAGTTATCATTAAGCTGATTTTACATTATATAAAGATTCATCACAGTTTCTCTTTATTTAGAAATTATTACTGAATTTATTATTAATATCATGGATACATATTGTTAACCATTGAGAGTTTTTAACTCAAGTAGATCTACATGATACAGTGACACAAACTATGTTATCAAATTTCCTTTATAATTGTATTCTGTATCTTTTCTAAAACTAATAAATATATAGCTCCATACGTGAGACTACAAATGTTATAAACATGGTTGACCATTTGTTTAATGATTCAAAATGAACAATGAAATATTCTCACAACGGGTTTTGTGGAGAGTTTTTTAGAAATTTCATAGGTTGAAATCATGACTCAATTGAAGGTAGACCACCATGAGAAACCTGGAAGCACTGGACGGCCGTTTCCTCCTAGTATGGGACTCCTCAGCAGTGTGCATCCACGATCCCACACCCCGCGGGATTCGAATCCAGGACCTACTGGTTTCGGGCGCGAGCACTTAGTCACTAGACCATTGAGCCGGGATCCCTTTAATAATAAAAGAAACAGGTCTAATTGAACTGTAATCAAAACATTCCAATGATAATTTTATATTGCATCAGTCATAACATTATCTATTTTACTCAGACTTATATAAAGTTTAGTATCAACGTAATAGGCTATGAATAAACAGGATAAACTAATTTCATCATGGTGACAGAATCGGTAAACTATTCATGTACATTTACATAGGTACGTGAGAAGAATTAAAATACGGATTAAATCATTTATTCATATTAGTTTCAGATTCCACAATTAAATCAATAAACATATGTTTAATAAATAAGAAATTATCATGAGCTAACATCCATATGTGAATACAAATAAAGCGTTAAAACCTTTATCAAAATGAATAGAATCCTATGGTGTTTACATCAGATTAGTAGTAAATGTAGTTACATTATTGTAAGTCTCATCTTCGTCATATATTATTGTCTACTTACTTACTTACACCTGTTACTCTTCATAAAGGAACAATGGCCGCCCACCAGCATTCTCCATCCAAATCTGTGTTGCTCAGTCTATTACACTTTTTTCCAGTTACTATTCATTCTTATCATATCTGCTTCCAATTCCCGACACAGTGTGTTCTTTGGTTTTCCTCTTTTTTGTCTCCCTTCAAAATTCCAAGTTATGACTTGACATGTGATGTAGTTTGATGATTTCCTCAATGTGCGTCCTATCTACTTCCAACGTTTTTTCCATATTTCCTCTTCAATCGGAAGTTGGTTTGTTCTCTCCTACAGTAGGTTGTTGTTGATGGTATCCGGCCAACGGACACTCAGTATCTCGCGTAGACAATTGTTTATAAATACTACTTACTACTATTACTTCAATCTATATTTATATAGTATGAAATTGTTTAACTCCTATTAAATACAATTTACCTGTATGTTTATATTCTTAATGATTGTCAAATTTTCTATTTTCTATTTCGTGGTTTCATATAATGTTGTATATACTACTTAAACTACTGTTTTCACTAGAAGAATAATTTACAATCCTTAAACAACATCAAATTGAATAACTATTGCCACTGTTTAGACAATCAGAATAATTTAATATTTTCCAGAGTAATTTTTAATAAAAAAATTAAAACTGAGAAAAATGTCTATCATATATCACAATTACAAGAATGGATTCACATTGAATTAATTCAACACCTAAAAATATGTTTTCCTTTTTTCATTTGACCTCTACAGATACTTCAAATTCAAATCGAAAACAAGTGGCCAGTGGTATTACCACATTGAATAACAATAATAAAATTATTCCAACAATTGTTGATAATGTCAGTACTACAATTATTACTACAACTAATAATAATACTGATAATGTAACAAGTAATATCAATAATAATCATGCTAATAGTTATGAAAATTGTTATTCGCAACCTAAAAGACAAGTAAGTTTATAAATTGAATGAGAATTCATTATTGTTTCTATGATAACTTTATCAGATATTAAACATACAGAATAGTTTGTTTACCTTTTCGATAAATCACTTTAGTTGTACAATTTACCTTAAGATTTTATATAATTTGACGTACATTATTTGTATCCTATGATTCAATATTATAAGTTGGAGCCTTACTTGTTTCTATGCTACATTATTTGTACAATTGAATAAAAGAAATTATAAGTGACCTAGAATAAGAGGGCCTCATTTCTACAATTGAAGAACATATGGAACTCAAATCAATTGTCAACCAATATCAAAGTCACAATCTTCAATACAAACGTCAAGGCAGTTCTACTGGACGAAGCTGAAACTTGGAGAACTACTACAACCATAATCAAGAAGGTACAAGTATTCATAAATGGTTGTCTAAGGAAGATACTCAACATCCATTAGCCGGATACCATCAGCAACAGTGTTCTGTGGAAGAGAACAAACCAGCTTCCAACTGAAGAAGAAATTAGGAAAGGACGATGGAAATGGATAGGACATACATTAAACAAATCATCAAGCTGCATCACCAGTCAAGCCCTAACTTGGAATCTTGAAGGGAAGCGGAAAAGAGGAAGACCAAAGAACACATTACGTCGGATAATAGAAGCAGATATGAAAAGGATGAATTGGAGCTGGAAAGGATTACCCAGGACAGGGTTGTATGGAGAATGCTAGTGGACGGCCTATGTTCCTTCACGAGGAGTAACAGGCGTGAGTAAGTAAGTAAGAATAAGAGGATTTTGAATATATATATATACAGTTAATTTGATTACTTATTCCAATACGATGTTAAACAGGATAATATGCAATAGATATTTTTTTAATAACAATCGAAATATAAGAAATATGACTCATCTCAACATTTAAATAATGTCGTAAGAAAACAATATGAAGAATCTATTGACTTCTATTGCTTCTTCAACGATTCAATGTCAAATATCAAATGATAAATTGTTGGCATGACATAAGTTGATGATTTTATGGATACTGAAATCTAGAGTTTAAATGTTATTACAAAAGAAAATAATGTCAGTTAAGGAAATAGTGAAAATCAGCCTTCACTGCACATCTGTTTTTGTTTCAGTTTATTACATTTTTGCATTGTTTGCTCATAGCCACACAATGATACGAGTCTGGATTAAACGTGGAGTTTCTTAAAGTTTTAGTTATGCATCATGGGTAGAGGCTCAAATATGTATAATCGATAACACTGATTAGAAACTAAGCGAGATTACGAATTGACTTGATCTAAGAGATGTAGCATACCCTTCAAGAAATCAAAATGTCTTGAGTTCCACTTTTTGTCAAGTTGTAAGTGAACAAAAGAGCAGTTCGGTGTTTTCTTCTTAATAATCAGTCGTAATTTATAAGTGTGTAAAGCGACTGCTAAGTTGTTCAGGAATTCACATTTCGATCAGTTTGTCACATGTTAAAAAACACCATTCGACCCCTTCCATTTCAGCAGCTACTAACTTTGACTATTCCTAACACAAACGCTGTACCCTAGAGTAGAGCTTACAAGTCAGCACTTTTTAAATGAGTTACATAAGTTTAAAATGCTAGAAAGAGTGCTGAAACAAAATACCATTAGAAAGACAATTTCGGAAATATGAGTCATCGATTTTTAAACCAGTGGTTTAAAGGTTAATTTCTCGTTGCGAAACCTAGAGATCTTGATATATGTCATTGACGAGATAAAAACAACCAACTAGTGCCCTCTACTTTTTAACCATGTTTTAGCTGTCACCATTTCATGGCCAAAATCATCTACAATGTTAAATAGTCTTTATAAAACCTCCCATACAGACGATAAATTTAACTATTTAGAGAAGGTGAAGTGCAACATCTTAAGACACTGATTTAATTTCATAAACGTAAAAAAACATTTCCAAATGAAAAAATACTTTGTTGAAATATAGTAAGTTTAGCTATATAGGTCTTTTCATAGGTGAAAATTTAATTACCAATCGCCAAAACCTGGCTTTATCTTATCGTCACCTGAACACATTATTTGTATTATAGATAAACATAAACTAGTTTGAATATTAGCTCAACAAAATGTTCTGTATATAATTTTTCCGATTTACATTTACAAGCAATCATCAGAACGTGATGTGTCCAACTCTAATGTTACAAAAGCTTATTCATGTTCAAAAAATATCGAAGAATTTCTTAGGAGAAGATCATTATCCTCTAATCCAGCAAATGCATCCAATCAGATGGTCAGAAGTCAGAGTTTATATGCTTACCTTTCTATGCGTAATGAATCAGCAAATAATGTGGTTAAAACTAGCGCAAACACATTGGCTAATGCGACATTTTCAATAAAACCAGACGATAGTCATAATATAGTTGACGTACAAGCAAAGCTACCTCTAAAACAACTGGCTGTTACTACTTCTACTACTCTCAATAATAATAGTAACCACAGACAAAGTGATAATTATTCCGAATATTCTATCGCTCAAAGATCAGTCTGTTCCTCTGTGTATGGAGCGGAGAGTGCAAATTCTCCAAATTTATCAACAGAGCTTCATCTACCTTCTTATAGAAGAAGTATGTCACCAAGCTTTCAAAGATCTTCAAATCAATTCGAAACTAACGGAGTTGTAGATAAACATCAGTCCAACAAAGTAAATGTAAGTAATGGTGCTTTTTTAAAGCAGTGTCAGTAAAATTATATGAATTTTTAAAAGATAAGCAAAATATGTTAGGCTACACTAGGAGATAACAGGATCAAAGCGTATATGCTAATTTGAAAAAAAAAATTTTAAACTCGATGCGATTTGGCCTACTTTTTCTCACTTTCCAGTCTATCCACATCTAGATTCACATTTTTTTTCATTTTATTTGTAACTGACTAGGCGGCCATTTTTTCCCATTTAGCGCTGTAGTTGTCAGTTTTAACATCAAAAATCAAAGAAACAGTTAACATTATAAATAAAATCTAAGTCTGAAATTCTGTGTTTGCGTTAGAAAAAAAAGTTTAGAAGACTTTTTCCATATAATTAGGTATAACCTTTTTGTATGTACATAGTTCATTACTAAAACTATCAATTCTACCAAAGGTATTCTACAAATCAGTTTATAAATCCTGTGACTTATTTAGTCTGTTTTATAAATATGCGCATTTAGACGTCTAAAACTTAACAAAATTCGGGCTACATAGATCTTATTCTTTCCTTAATAATCATTTAAGACAGTGTATTTGTTCAGTCGTAACATCTACTGTCCTCAAAAGTCATATGTTTTAATCACTTTGTGGTTTGTATGTCCTGTTGTGTCTACATTGTTCCAGTGCCAACTTCATGTTTAGTTTGAATTTACTTTCATCAGTTAATAAATCTACTGCATATCACGGATGAAGATATGAGAGGAGAGTAATCACTAATATAACAAATGTATAATCTATTAAACTCACTTAGGTGTGAAATGTATAAACCTATATAACATATCTTTAAAGATGTTACATGGATGACTTATTCACATTTGAGATCATAGTAATACTTATGGGATATGAGCACTGAGTCTTCACAGTGTCATTAAGATTGATCAAGTTCAAAGTATCTGAAATCATCTGACTTTGATCTTGGAGTAGACGAAGGAGACGTATTATGAAGAACAAACTGACTTCAAAGATATAATTATACATTAACTAAAGAATATTTTTATGGTTAGAGACAATATTTGGTTTTCAAATTAATCTATGCTGTTGATTAATAAGATAAAAGAAAAGCACAGACATATTGCGTAGATTAACACTTCAAATTTATTTCAGACTCTGAATGTGTAAACGATTTTAGGTCCCCTTTAAGTTTCAAATGAGAGTCAATGGATAATTACTGAGGAATTTTTCAAAAATAAATTAGTCATAGACGTGAATACAACTGACGACTTGTAGATTTTTTTTTTGAGTTCCATGCTGAACTGTTGTCAAATAACAAACCGGCAGAAATCTCTCTTGAAAATTCCTTTTATTCATATACATAAGGTTAGAATAATGTGCAGTTTAATATGATACTCATTGAATAGGCTCAACACTCAGGTTTTAATGAACTGAGTAATGATTGATCTACAAGCTAATTTCCATTAATCACCTATGATATTAGGTCATGTTTATTTTGTTTTCATATTTGGTATTTAAACAAGTTATTTTCTACATGAAAAAGCCTATTCACATCAGGTTAATATTCTTATTTCTAATTTCTTATCATTCATGTGCTTAAGTCAAAAAGACATCACTCAGTCACATCATAATCTTGTGTTTCATCTATAGCTAAGCATTTTATTCACTAGTTTTTTCTTAACAGTAGAAAATTTCATCTCATTAAATTATCCCCAAAATCTCATTCATAACAGTTCACAGTCACGCAATGTTGGAAACTTTATATTTTAAGAAAATTGAACTCAAATTTGTAAGAATAGTCTAAACTAATTAGTTGTTTTCTACAAAATCTAGTTATAATAAGAAATGTTATTTTTTTTATAAGTAAAAGCTACTGATTTTAAAAGGGAAAACAACTGATGACAAAGAATCAACAAAGAACTGTTCTGTCCTTCTTCTAAACATTCTAAATTAGTACACTTACATAGTCATCATTACTCGATCTCTCTTAAAATATATTCAAGAACTGTCATGTTACAAAACATTGTGATATCATCAGTTGTCTATGTGAACAATTTGTTATAACTTGATAGGTTTTCAAAAGGTAATTGAATGAACGAAGAATATTCTTTTCAACGAATTTCTCATCAGGTTCGACAATTATAAATCCAAATTAATAATCCATAAAATTGGCCAGATTCAAGGCAGAGTACATCATTTGGAAATTGTAATATATGGATTGAGAATTGTTGTTTGTTATATAAAGTCAATTCAGATCGTTAATGTTGGGGCTGTTTAATATAAAGTGTTAACTTGAAATTGTGCGATAAATGATCAGAATAAATATGGTCAACATGAGGTGAGAGAGAAAATAATGGAATAAAAATCGGAAATTACGTAATATGTAGAATAATATGAATTAGGTCAGATATAGTCGATTTGGGGGTGGATATTGAATAAATTCCTCAAAAGGTTATCAAGTGTAAAGATAATAATAATAATAATAATAATAATAATAATAATGGTAATAATAATAAGTTTGGGACATAAAATGAACACTAATCAGATTACGTCACCATATTATAAAATTAATTATTAACTGGTTGGCCAGGGCAAAAGGAGTGCTGAACATACTTCTTTTGGATGCAAAGATCTGGCTTTTTGATCAGAATAGCAATCGCTTCAGCCATCTGTATGATTCACAGTCTGACGGAATTAGGTAGACTGCTGTTAACACGATAGATTATTGCAAAAGATTGCTCCATGTTGGCTGTATGTCCTGTTTGAATTAAATGCTCTGCGACGGAGCTGTTAACACTTTTGACTGCACCTCTACTTAAACACACGGGAGGTGCTCACGAGCCCGAATGTACAAGTTCCTAGAACATCTGCCAATATAACTTGCTCCACCGGAGCAGTTGAATTGATAGATACAGAAGGAGGTGGCTAGTCTAGGTAACTTATCTCTCAACCTCGGAGTGATTATTGGTCGTGTGGAGAAAATTAGTTGTAGTTTACTCTCATTAAATGTCCTTTTAATTGATCTGCTTAACTTAAGTCTTAGCATTTCACTTGGTGCATCGCCTCTGAATTGTAAGCGTATATACAGAGGATTTTTATTTACAGTTGGGCATTCTCTATGCTGTCTTTTATTGTCTATGTTTTTATTTATAAATTTCTCGGGATATCCATTTTCCTTCAAGGTTATGTAAAATGACATTGTTTCATCTTCAATCGTATCCACAGAGCGTTTAGTCTTGATTCTATGATGCAGTGTCTTAATTAGGTTCCTTTTGTATTGTAGAGGGACAAAAGATAGTTACGTTCAATTAACATTAAATCCAGTTCAAAAGTTTTCTAACGATACTCATGTAGGATCTATACATTTGACATTAAATTCTACATCTTCATCCAAACGCTCATATTTAATGTTTTATTCTAAAGTTCATGTTTGAATTCGGTATAATAAACAATTATTAATTTATGATATTTACTCTTTCACGTGATCCTTATATGAACAACTTCTAACTCTTAATTTACATGAAACTAAGAATGCTTATTAAATACTCTACATATGTTTGAAAATATCATGAAAGTATATATGTATATTATTAATGGGAACTAATAAACTAATAAACATTCCAAGCATTGTATAGTAACAATTCAAAACAATCATAGTTGTACACGTTCGTGTTTGGCGTCATAACATTACTTAGTTTTTATCGTCAATTGATAAAAATATTTTTCTACGTAAATATGTTTAATAATAATAATAATAATTATTATTATTATTATTATTATTATTATTATTGTCATTATTATTATTGCTATCATTGCTATTATCACTACGTTGGTTGAGAGCATTGTATGTTAATTTCAAATTTACTAAAGTGTATTGAAAATCTCATGTAGGCTGAATAAAAAGTACAAATAAAATTTCAATTTTCAGCATAGAAATGAAATATTACTGTGGCCAACTAGTCTTCTGTCACAGGTTTATTTCAATTCCGTTTCAACTACTTATTGCTAAAAATATTTTTTCATAAATCAGCTTGTGCAGTATAAGGGATTTGACAAGATGACACTATTAGTTAATGAGTTTACTAGTTTTTTTGACAGGTATATTGTACTTAAGTGACAGATGTATGAAGGTGTATTATATATATATCCACTGTAGTTATATATACGTCTTAGAATTATAAAACGAATACCACGTGAGCTAGGTATCAGTATAATACTAGTATAATACTCTCATTATCCAAACAACTACATTGGTTTTCCGTGATTGATATTAGTTACAGTGCTTCGAGATGACAGGAAATCCTCAATAGATTACGAAAAATATTTCAGTAGTATACTACATTTTAAATGAAATAGATATATAATATCCTAAGTGAATAGTTTATTTAAAGGTAAAAATCTAGAATTTAAGACTAAAGAAATTACATTTTTACCGGAACCGTAAACAATAAAAAAACTCTTGGTCAAATGATATTTTAGAGTATTCATTAAATGTTATTGATGAAAATCTTGTTATCCATCTTTGATGCATGATTTTTTAGAAGACTAGTTTTGACTATAACAATATCAACACTATTCTGCACTGTTGAATTCTATCTAACTTAGATAGATATATCTGTGTTTATATAAGGAGTTTGATAGTTTTTAGTATACAGATAAAAGATCTAGTCTGGGTTTTATGCTTTTTGACATCACTGAAAAGTATATTTGAGATTTTGGGAGAATCAGTGATCCCTGTTAGATTTGAAGCGCTTTACTAAGCATCACAATTTAATATGCTGCCAACCAGCCATTCTGAACGTATATGTATCCTATAAACTAAGCCTAACCTATTAGGTCTATAATGCAAACTACAATCTGATCGCCATTAAAACCTTGTACTAGATTAGAATCAGACTGGAAATGAACTATATCAAAGTTTACCTATTCTTCAATAATTTCTTGTGAAACATAACGAGGTTACAAACATCCCTTGAGGGAGTCAGTCAGTAATTAAAACCTGTATTATATCAATACATCAATTTATTTGAACACAGTCAAAGCTTTATTTGCTCTCATTTTCTCTTTTTAATATAAAGCTCACTGTACAAATCTTCCTACCAGATAGAACTAGTATACATATCCCAGTTCACAGTACGACTACTGCATTACAAGCTTTGCAAATGTTAACTAGTACCAATCAAAAACTTCTTACAATGAAACATGCTTTGGTTGAAAGAATTCCTGTTTTACATTTGGGTAAGTTTATTAATTAATTCTTATATACAGCGGCTCTCAACTAAATAGCTAGTTTCCATTGCTGATTGACTGTTTTGCTTATGTTATATTCAAATGTGAGATTAAGTAATTTAGTTATGATTCAATGTAAATGGTTTTTAGTAGTTAAAATTGATACTAAGGTATCAGTTGAACGAGATTTCTGTGATGAATGCCTTTTCTGAGCATAAATTTTATGCATTCTTAGGAAAAATTAGTGATTAGTCATAATAACAACAATAATATATTCTGCAAATAATAATTACAGAATTCATGCCAGTTTACAGGCATGATCAGCTTGATATAAGTAGTAGCATTAAATGTAGAGAACAAACATGTGATATAAGATTGTTTTAAGTTTACTAGTTCAAAAATTGTTTAGGTAGTACATGTTCCACATGTATTACAGCAATGAAAGGCATTATCCAGGAAATTCTCATCTTTTTTAAGTTGACATTCTGTTGATGTATAAACGGTGAATTTAAGATCATTTCCTGCTCCATAACAAATGGATTATAACCATCTATAACTACTTAAACTTTAAGTTCTTTGATGTTTAATCAAACACATCGAGATTATTTCCACAATTGCAATCACCAATAAAGTCAAAATTCACATAATAAACGAAAGAAATGATTGACAAAACGTAATAAATAAATTAACTCCGTATAAGGAAAACATCTTAAAGATTACAAATAGTTTTTCAAGGGCTAGTTATAACTTACACACTAGCCAAATCGTTCAAAACCTAATTGTATAAATAGGTAAATGGTAGTGACTAGAAAGTATGAAATTAAGGATGTTTCATTATTAAATTATACTATAAATTAAACCTCAAAATATTGATTGTTACTCCATGATCGATTAATCAGAAAAAGTATTGATTTCAAATGAACTAATCATGTTAATCATAAAATTGGTTTCAATAAAATATTAAGAAGATTTTCTGTGATGAATAGGAGTATTTGAATTAAAGTATGAACTAAGAATCCCAGAAATAACGTAATCGGATCAAGAAGTACTAGATAACTACAAACGAATGTATTGTATTTAGAATTCTCAATCAAGCATTCAACAAGTACAAAGGAATCATCAGTTCATTCAAACACCACACTTTCTTTTATTTCACTTTGATAAAATTTTTTTACAAACATATAATCTTAAAAATGTTAGTTTTTTAATCACTAAATGTGTTTAGTTAATATGTATTTGCTCTTAGAACTTGGAAGATCCTATTGTTTTCTAACTTTCCAGGAACTTAGACAAAACTGATGGTTTTTCCAAGTTAATTTGTTCTTATAAAGAAGAAAGGAAAATATTTCGATTCATTACTCTAAGAAATATAGCTGCTAATTTGCACTTTAAAAAATATTTTACAGTATTCAGTAATGTATATGATTGTCGAATTTTAACAATTAATTGAAACATTTATGTCGGTTGCCTCAAGTACGCTTACTTATAGAGCTGTAAATCAAGCACGAATTCCATAATCGGTTACATTCATTCTAATTTATTAGTTTTTGAATTTTCCTATGTCTGCCTAGACTTTAATCGAAATTTATTTAGGTATTCATCACGTCAGAGTTTCATGAACTTTAAACGATAACTTAATTGACAATCTCATGTTCTTTTATCCACTATTGTTGCGGATCAATCAATTCAGATGTTTACAACACTAATGTAACCTCTTTTAATCCTGCCTAATTAAATTATGTTTGTTCAAATAAGAGGAAATTTAATCTATAATGAATATTTGAGACTATAATTTATAGACGAACCAATCAGATTTAGGCGCGAAATTCATTCATCCATTTGGCGAAATAGCGTTTTAGCATTTTAGCTAATATCAGTTCGTGATGAAAAACCGTAAATGTAATTCCTAATCTTAACCGTCAACTGTGAATCATAATCCTTATTCTCTAAACTGCTTTATAACCCTCATATAACCCTAGTAAGTAGGTAGATACTCTCAAGGTTACTGTTGCGTCGCTCAAAGGTCGTCCATAAATTATAGTCTCACCTTTTTTCCTACATTCAAAGAATTATCGACTTACTTGTAGAAGAATAATATAAACTTCTAATTGGATGGCGAATCCCTCAGAAAAAATCTTTAATAATGTAACTTTTATTTAAAACAATCAAAGAAAACATAAATCAGTGTAACTGAATATCCTTACAGAAACATCCTAGTAAATAACATCCATGTAATTTATAATAACTAGCTTTTGTGAAATTAAGAAAATTGAGAATCAGACAACAACTTATCGATTAAATTAAGTGGAAATCATATTCTGTTACAAATATATGGAAATAGAAGAAGTATAACAATCAATACCAATATGGTATGATTACAAAATTATGAACTCGATTAAGTGTGATGTGGATGTAAATTACTGAGGACTCGAAAACTAAGATGGAATAGATGTCAAGTGCTATATGTTTTTTAATGCCTTTTTAGGCAATATCAATTTCTAATGAAAAATTAACCTGGAAACTATACGTTTATTGTAAATTATTATAAAATACAATTTGTAACTCGTCGGTTGAATTCACTGAAAGAAGGAATACAGTGAAATATACTGTAAATAGACTACTTTTTATGAACTCTCGTCTGAATGAAAGCTCATTTTCTGTCAATATTTCGCTTCAATACTACGTTACACAAATAAATTAAGAATGTCGTACCACTAAATAGATGTTCAAAGGCTAATTGGAAAAACAAGTTACACCATACTTTAAACATAACATCACCATGGAAAACATTTGACACTATACTTTATATGATGCAGTAAACTGAATTATACAAACTGGTGTAGATGTTTCATTCAGATAAATAGTTTAATAAAATACTTTATAAAGGTTGTTATTAACTACATATTTTGTAGCTCTTTGATTGAAAATTTAAATTTATTTTTGATCTACTACAAGAGGCCAACAAACACTTTCCTTATTCTCAATTTCAGGGATTTGTGGAGATTGTAGTATTATCCAAGTTGAATTCACGAATCAATTTAAACTAGACCACCAGTGCATCCAGATTTCCACTGGTAGTCTAGCTTAGATTGACATTGCTTATTACTTATCACAATTGAAAATGGTTACATTTCTCTGAGTAAATATTAGTAGGAAGAAAAATTTAATGAAGAAACAGAATTCTAAACTGTTTCCATTTTAAAAATAATGAAACCATTTGTTATTTACTGAAGTTACTTTCAGTTTAATGATCAATTGAGAAAAAGTTCATGTCAATCATACCTGTCTTTATTATTTGTTGTACTGATTTTAAAACTGTTGAATTTTATCAAACACAAATTATGACAGTGAAGATTTTAAAAGTTATTTATATTTCTTTATTATATCTCATGACAATCACGCTTAAATTATTTGCAACTGTCGGGACGGCTTACGAAAATCATGACGGAGCCTCCAGAGACCCTCAAAGAGATGAAGAATTTTCATCCAATCAGAACCTGATGAACCTCCCTAGAATATCGACGTGGCATGCTACGTTTGGACGCTAGTATACCTTGCCTCCTTGTGCATTAGCTGAATTATAGCAATGTTATGGTCATCGCTAATAACTATAAATACAGAAGTTTTTTTCTGGATACATATTGGTCCTTACCCAACAATCACTTCCCTGCTTCTTTTGTCTTCTGATTTGCGACTGTGGGGTTCTATAAATTCGAATGCCGTTAGTAAGATATGGTGTTCTGCGTTAATCAAGTAGAGGATATAATAGTAACATTTGAATTTTAGCAAATTTTACATATTTTTGTTAAAGTATAAATATTCAGAAATTTCTGTAATACTAATGTAACACTTACTTAACTCTAATTACAATTTATTCATTCTTTTCTTATATACATAAACTGTTCTAGTTATTTATACGAATATTCGTCAAGATTAGAACCAATAGTTGGCCAGTAACTGAGCGCCGAGTATAGAGAAGTCATTATATGTGAAAATTATATTTGAAATGTTCTCAGCGATTGAAATTAGTTAAATTTCAATCGCTGAGAATATTTCAAATATAAATTTCATATATAATAACGGTTCTAGTTATTTATTTGTGTTAATTCGAGTCCTCGCATATTCTGCCGCAAACCAGAACGACCAGTGAAAAACAAGGAAGGCGAGGTAATCACCAACATTGAAGAGCAACAAAACAGGTGGGTAGAACACTTCAAAGAACTCTTGAATCGACCAGCTCCACTGAACCCACCCAACATCGAAGCAGCACCCACGGACCTCCCAATCAATGTTGGCCCACCAACAATTGAAGAAATCAGCATGGCCATCAGACAAATCAAGAGTGGAAAAGCAGCAGGACCGGACAACATCCCAGCAGAGGCACTAAAAGCAGACGTAGCGGCAACTGCAAGGATACTCCACATTCTCTTCAATAAGATTTGGGATGAGGAACAAGTACCAAAAGACTGGAAAGAAGGACTTCTGATCAAAATACCGAAGAAAGGCGATCTCAGCAAGTGTGATAACTACAGGGGCATCACTCTTCTCTCAATACCGGGAAAAGTCTTCAACAGGGTATTGTTAAACAGGATGAAGGACTGCGTAGACGCCCAACTTCGTGACCAACAGGCAGGATTCCGTAAGGATAGATCGTGTACAGACCAAATCGCAACTCTACGGATCATTGTGGAACAATCAATTGAATGGAATTCATCACTCTACATCAACTTCATTGACTACGAAAAGGCATTTGATAGCGTGGACAGAACAACACTATGGAAACTTCTTCGACACTACGGCGTGCCTCAGAAGATAGTCAATATCATACGGAATTCCTATGATGGATTAAACTGCAAAATTGTGCATGGAGGACAGTTGACAAACTCGTTCGAGGTAAAGACCGGTGTCAGGCAAGGTTGCTTACTCTCACCCTTTCTCTTTCTCCTGGTGATCGACTGGATCATGAAGACGTCAACATCTGAAGGGAAGCACGGGATACAATGGACATCTAGGATGCAGTTGGACGATCTGGACTTCGCAGATGATCTGGCCCTTCTATCCCAAACGCAACAACAGATGCAGGAAAAGACGAACAGTGTGGCAGCAGCAGTAGGTCTCAATATACACAAAGGGAAAAGCAGGATTCTCCGATACAACACAGAATGCACCAATCCAATCACAATTGACGGAGAAGATTTGGAAGATGTAAAAACCTTTACGTATTTGGGCAGCATCATTGATGAACAGGGTGGATCTGATGCAGATGTGAAGGCGCGGATCGGCAAAGCAAGAGCAGCATATTTACAACTGAGGAACATCTGGAATTCAAAGCAACTGTCAACCAACACCAAGGTCAGGATTTTCAATACAAATGTCAAGACAGTTCTACTGTATGGGGCAGAAACCTGGAGAACTACGAAAGCCATCATCCAGAAAATACAGGTGTTTATTAACAGTTGTCTACGCAAAATACTTCAGATCCGTTGGCCGGACACTATTAGCAACAACGTACTGTGGGAGAGAACAAACCAGATCCCAGCGGAGGAAGAAATCAGGAAGAAGCGCTGGAAGTGGATAGGACACACATTGAGGAAAGCACCCAACTGCGTCACAAGACAAGCCCTCACATGGAATCCTCAAGGCCAAAGGAAAAGAGGAAGACCAAAGAACACATTACGCCGAGAAATGGAAATAGACATGAGAAAAATGAACAAGAATTGGATGGAACTAGAAAAGAAGGCCCAGGACAGAGTGGGTTGGAGAATGCTGGTCAGCGGCCTATGCTCCATTAGGAGTAACAGGCGTAAGTAAGTAAGTAATTAAGTATATTCTGCACATAACCTTGATTTTATGGTTGATTTTTTTCACTTTACGCCTAGAAATAAAACGATTATCTCTGAGTTATCTCAAAATGTGATATAACATGTAATAATATGTGCGGTGAGATAACATAGAATTTATTGATTTGTTGAATGATCATATTATGTAACAATTTATAATTATCATCTGTTTATAATAAATATTTCACTTTGTTTGACATTTTTTTGAATAATTTCCTTTAGAACGTTGTCTAGAAGATGATGAATATTTATTGAATTATTTATCAAGTTGGAAAATAGGAAATGAAAATTTAATATTTCTTGAAGAACGACATGATTTATATGGTTTATTCGAAAGTCCAAAGGTAAATAAACATTATAAACTTGATTAAATATTACAGTTGATTAATTAACTAATGTAAATATTCCAATTTTACATTGATATAACATTCAACTATAACAGAGCATTAAAAATATATTCCAGTTAATTCATTTTGTATTGTTTGTTTAAATCTTCCCATTGATGTTTAAGACTGCAATTTACACTTCACCCCATTGTATAAACTAATAACCATTAGGACTTGGTAACTAAGAAGATAATCCTTGAAAATCAACTGTATTGAATCGTTCGACACTGATAATACAGACGATTGTTTAATGTTTCCTATTCACTGGTAGTTTAATAATATAATGGAGAATCTTTAATTCAATATTTTATGTAACTCACGGGGATTTTATTCATTTCACTACTTGTTCATGTTACACGAGTTATTCAAAATTATAAATAACTAGAAAATTTGACTGACATCAGTTGTATTAATTAATAATGAATAGAATGAAAATATACTGCATTTCTTTTTTTACAAGAGTGTTAAAATAAATCACACTTTCGTTTTTTTCCAATCGAAAATGTTTTCAAGCAAAGATAGATAGAAACTAGCAGTAAAATCCAGGACTCACATTTCATGCTGTTTGGGATTTATCAGTTGGATGTGCCTAAATCCCAGTGTTGATGTTCACTCCGGGACTCAAACCCAGTACAGTTCGCTTCAACTATGGGATACAGGTACATGCAGTTGACGAATCCCAAATAGAACGAGACATGCATCATAGATTTCACTGCCAGCCATTATCCATCTTTTCCCATAATGCTTGTGATTTAAGGCAACATCAAGACAGTCCGCACAGTATGCACATATGTCAATAAGAGACTGATCAATCGCAGTTCTAAACAACAATGGGAAAATACAAGCAAACAAGATCAAGCGAATGAAAATGTTTTCTATTGAGCAACTATAAAATCATCTATCATTTAAATATGAAATGATTTCTAGTATTTTGTTAAAACGATTTTAATAATTGTTTATTGATTCAACACTTTATCAGATGGGTTTTTTGTGGAGATTGTAGTAATTTCACTGGTTAAGATCATGGGTCAGTTGAAGCTAAACCACCATGGAAAACCTGGAAACACATCTGATATTAATCAACATATGCTCACTAGTGACTGGCTTCACGAGGTATATCCTGGAGTTCTAGTGAGAAGTAGTGACCAGTGGAGTTCAACCAGGTCTGTTGTGAGGTAGTAACTCACTGAAGACAATGATGAATGTGTCGCTCAATTTCCTGGATTAGTTGAAGTTAGACAATAACACCGTTGGATGCCGGCTCAGTGGTCTAGTTGTTAAGTGCTCGGGCGCGAAACCAGTAGGTCCTGGGTTCGAATCTCGCAGGGGGCGAGGTCGTGGATGCGCACTGCTGAGGAGTCCCACAATAGGACGAAACGGCCGTCAACACTTTATGCTACTTGATCCTAATTGTACAAACAATTTTTATAATGTACCTACTTAGAACGATTATCAATAGTTTAAAATCATTATAGCATTGTAATTGATTTTTAAAATAACTAATAAGACCGATACGTTCCATTTATTAGTCTTGTTAACAAAACCAAACGCCACACACATAACAAAAAAAAACAATCACTAGTCCATACAAAAAATCTTTAGCCAAACTAGTATGACTATGAGTTAATTTTTCATGGACAAATGGTTAGTCAGGGATGAAAAAATGAAGGTTAGAAGTAAAATATAATCAATTAAAAATTAATTTAACCATTCATAATATTTAAAAAAAACATTTGAAAGAGAAAAATATTTTCACAAGAGGTAAATATCAGTAGAATTAATCATGGAAAATCAATCACTAACAGTTAAGATTATGAGTCAATTGAAGCTAGACCACCAGGGAAAACCTGGAAGCACTGGACGGCCGTTTCGTCCTAGTATGGGACTGCTCAGCAGTGCGGATCCACGATGCCGTACCACGCGGGATTCGATTCCAGGACCTACTGGATTCGCGCGCGAGCACTTAACCATTAGACCACTGAGCCGGCATCCAACGGTGTTAATGTCTAACTTCAACTAATCCACGAAAGTGAGCGAAACATCTACCATTGTCATCAGTGAGTTGCTATCTCACATCAGACCCGGTTGAACTCCACTGGATATTTATATATATCCATGTTAATTATTTTGAAATTATTGAATAATGTTTAAGGGTCTTTATTTCAAAGAATTACATAATCAAAAGAGTTTTGTGGATATTATAGTAACTTTAATTGACTCATGATCACAATCATTGAAATAAGATAATCATTGAGTTACTAATAGTTAACGATTTTAAATTTTATTAACAAATGAAATACTATGGCTTAGTTAATTTCAATTATTAACGTTTTAAATCAACTGGAAAATTATGTCCACAGTATTTAAAAAACCCAGCAGACTGACAAGGATCAGACTTAGATATATTTAATTTTATATCAAGAATTATACCATTAAAAATTAATGAATTGGTTTTTATGTCCAACTTTTGTTTTATTTCATTGTTAAATCGTTATTATGTTATGAATTGAGTATGCTTTGTACTTTCTATTTGGATTTTCCGTTAAAAATTTACATAATGAGTGATTTTAATAATATGATGAGGTTCCCTTTTAGAAGATTTTGAATAAATCTTAATGGGACTTTACATTTTTGTTATCTTTCATGATAATGCTTTATTTTATTGGAAAATCTGATTGAAAATAATAATAAATATAAATATTTCCACAGTTGAATTAACGAATCGATCTAAGCTAGACTACCATTAAGAGCCTAAAAGTACTGGGTGGCCGTTCATTCCTAGTATGAAACTCCTCAGCAGCGCGCATCCACGACCCTGCACATGGGGCTTGAATACAGAATCCTAGGTCTCGCCCTCTAACGCTTAACGTCTAGACCACTGATCTGGCTTCCATCGGTGTTAATATCTAACTTAAATCGATCCGTAATCTTGTGCAACCCTTCATCCATTGTCTGGAGTGGATAACTGTCTCACACCTGACATGGATTGGACTCTACTAGTAACGGCTTTTCATTAGAACTCCAGAAGTTCTGTCTTGAAGCCATTCACTTTTGAGTACATGATTATTATCAGCATGGAGATTTATGGAGATTGTATTATTTTCACAGTCGAATTCACGAGTTTTCATAAGCTGAATAATCTATGAAACCCATAGATTTTTCTCAAAATAGTCAGTCAGTCAATAATACCAAAACCCCTAAATTTTTGTGACTTCCGCTTCATGCTTTAAACTCTAGCCATTGATAATTTCCATTTACTAAAAAAACCGAAATCCAAGGATATTTGTACACTTCCTTTAACCATGTATCATCAAACTGAAAAGTTTTATCCTATTAGACAAGTAGTTAATGAATAGGCGATAAAGAATGATGCTGGAAACATATCTCCTGATAGTACTTCAGTTGAAGCCACAAATTATTCGTGAGATCATCATCTCTACATAGCGATTATATTTCATTTTACAAACATTTATCGTATCCAGTAACGTTAAATCATGATTTTATAGCTCACTAAACATTGTTTTACATATAGGATAGAAGGAATATGGCTAATAACGGAAACTACGATACATGTTTTATCCTTTTAAATTAAACGCTCAATGTGTTCAAGTTCCAGTGTAAATAGCAACACTGAAATGAATGTGCATATAGCTCACAAGTCCCCAAATACGATAAAATGTCGACCATAAATTTCACTACTAGACACAATCCTTCTATTCTATGTATAGTGTGAAAATTGTTTTTCAAAATAAGTATATTTTAACTGAATACATTCATTTTTATTTTGTCCTTTAAATAGAATGAAAATAAAACAAAATTTTAGTCAAATTTAAACAACTTCAACAAAGTGATATTAGACTTCATCTACTTGATGTAAAAATTTCGAACAAATAGACGTACATTATTGACGTCATGTTAGTTTCTTTGCATAATTCAATAGATTGAAAATGTTCAAAAATGACAACACAATAGTTGGTTTGTAAATTAGAAGACAATTTACAATAGAACCTTTCAAAAAGATCACATCATGTTCCATGTTCACAATATACTTTATAATGTTCAGATATTTTAAACATCAGTTTTGTTTTTAAAAATGAAAAAAATAAAATTTTGTTACTACTGAAATAAATAAATAACCTAATAATTAAAGTCTATTCAAGCCACTAGAGTGAATAAGATTATAATTATTGATAATAATACATCAATCAAATCTAAACTATTCATTGACACTTTCAGTCTTACATGTCAAAAGTGTCCAGTCTCTACTCCCTCTTCAATTTATACTGTTTTATATAAATGTCGTTCACGAATGAGACTTAATGTAGCACGGATTATAACTTGTCTTATTTGTGTAGTCGGTTCATGAGTATGATTCCAACTACTTGTAAGTGTATAGATGTAAACAATATGTCCACCAAATATAAGATTAATAATTGAAATCTCATATTTATTTATCTTTTTTTTTTTCAGAGCTGGTTAGGTGAACATCATTCTATATTCAATATCAATTCAAACAAAGTACGTTATTTAATAATCTTTTTGAATGTGTGCTTCCCTATATGACTTGAATTCCCTTTTATGCCTACATGAATAATTTAACGATGTGCTTTACTTTCTTGAATGTCTTTTAGTGAATATAAACAAAAACTCAGTGTATGGAAACATACTCTGTTAATTATGAATTTTGTTCACCTAGGAGGTTTCTAGAGATGTATTCAAGTTGTTAATTTGTTTTTTCCCTGAGAACTGACATCATGTAAATGGTCATTGAAAATCAGAATTCATTGAATAGCTTCTTTACATTACATCTTAAAAATAGCCTCTAAAGAGCATATGATTAAGGATGGACATGTATATTATTGTATCCCGGTTCAATGGTCTAGAGATTAATCGTTCGTGTGAGAGACCGAATGTTCTAGGTTTAATTCCCTGTCTCTGAATCGAGGATGTTCACTTCTGATTAGTCGCATAGTAGGACGGGATAGTTCTTCAACGTTCCCTGGTTTCCGATCATGTTTTAGTTCAAATCAGCTCGTGAATTAAATTGTGATGAAATTATATGATACAATAGTAATTTCCAAAATACTATTGCGTCATAAAATCTGCAAACATATAAATCGTTTCATAATTTCGTTAGATAATATATATATATATATATATATATATATATATATATATATATATATATATATATATATATATATATATATTTAACTGTTTTTACTGTGATCTACCACATAGATACTTAAAATAATATTGTTTTACCTCTTAAATAAATCCCCCTTTTTTTAATTTCTAACATCTGCTGATTTGTTCAATTCAACTGTCAACATGAATCGTAATTTATATTTTATTAAATGAATAAATGAAATCATTCATTTAATTTTATTATCATTATGTAGAATATTTTTCATCGAAATGAAAATATCCCAATACCAGTTTATACAGATCAATTATTTTTACGTATTGGACAAACAAAATGGAAGAGAAGATATTGTCATTTGAATTCAAATGGTTTCTATGTTAGTAAACAAAAAATAATAAATGTAAGTCTTTTAAAAGTAATCATATATATAGATTATGTAATGATTGAAAGTATAGATGTCATTTAACAGTTCAATTTATGAGTTGATTGTTTTGTTTTTTTCCTTTTTGTTTTAATAGAATAAAAACTTCCGGTATACGATTGACAAGAATGATATGTTCTTTTTATTTAAATCAATTTTCTAGAGTCATTTAGATTTAGTTTGTTTATTTCTATACGGGAATATATAGTTGATAAGTATATACATATTTGGATATAAAAAGAGATACTCACAAGAAGTTATCTTACATTCTCTTTTTTACTGTGAATTAGGATTTCAGATTGAATGTAGTTTCTCACATATAACAAATGTGTTTATCAGGTAACATATTTTTATTATTTTTAAAAAAAATGTAAAATATATAAGCTTTATAAGCAAAGATGGATAGTGGCTAGCAGTGGAATCCAGGACGCGCGTTTCATCCATCTTTGCTTATAATGCTTGCAAATTAAGGCAATATCGAGGCATATGCACAGTATGCACATATGCCAATAATAAGAGACTGATCAATTTCAGTCCAAAAACATCAATGGGAAGATTCAAGTAAAACAATACCAAGTGAATTATATAAGCTTTATTGAACATTATATTTTTGGTACAATATAGAATTCTCAGCAGAAAGTATTTCAACAAGTTCACTTTTCTTATATCTTGGTCGATTCTGACGATAAATATTGAGTGATGGCCAGTTAGATGTTTGGAGTTCGGTAATCCACATCTGAATAATGTTCATTCGTTTCAATGCATATTGTCGCTGATTGTACCTTTTTGTAACCCGCATAGCGAAAGGCTGTAAACTTTTCATAAACGCGCCTGAATAGGTTGTGAGCTCAATAAACATAATGATGTGCTAAAACAAACAAGAAAACCGATAACTTGATGAAATATCTAGATCGGAGGAACAGGTAGCCCAGATATTCAAGCAGGTCACTGATTGTTAACGAGAAGTTGTAAACGATGAATTTGTACAATTTCAGGTATAAGATAACTATTATATTGATATAAATGCATTATGGTTGTATAATATGGAGAATTAAGTGAAATCGGAAATGAAAAACTACTGGTTATCAACTCAATAGTTTAAAAGAAATGTACTTGTCACAAAACAGAAGAGTCTAGGTTTGACACTAAAATATATGTCAATCAGCAAATTAGTCGTAATCAACCTCGATTTTGGCACATATGTGTATTTGTTCAAATTGTCATACCATATTAGCAGGACGAGGTGAAATTGATGAGATGAATAGAAAAGGGGTTAGAATAAATTTAAGACCATTGATAGTAGAAAAAGCTAAATATTGAGAATAAGCTATTAGGAAACGAATGTATAAATGAAAGGTTACTTGAACAAATGAATTAGGACAATATAAAGAAAGAATCTATTTATGACACGATGACCAATTCTGGACTTTATTCTCCCGGGTCATCAACTATTGTTCGCAGTTGCCTTGCATACTCCAGACAGGTAGTCTAATTCTGTCAACACGGCTCAGATCAACAGTTAATAGATTATTTATATTATTCTTGGACTTGGTTTGATTACTCTTAGCTACTTTTGTTCAGTGGAAAAGTATCAAACAGACTCCACTTACATCAGACCTAATATTGTATTTATAGGTGAACAGTTCTAATGAAATTTTCGCGAAATCTCTATAGTTTCGATACTCGACTTTAAAGTATGTTCATTGATAAGCAGTTAGTTTATTTACAAGACATAATATTTCGTTTACAATGTTATGGCCAACATTCAGTCAATTTCTGTGAAATTACCTTAAGACAACAGTAAAATCCGATATATTTTTCTGATTACCCTGGCACTGGCTTTGAGAATGATTTTTCTAAAAGACAAACAACTGTTGAAACTTAAAAAAACTGAACAAATAAGGAGCAGATCGAGAATGTTTAAAAATTAGTGTAACTTATTTATCAAATGCAGAGTTATGTACTCTCGTTTGAGACACATCTTAAGAAGTGTGTTAGCAGTACCCAATCCTTCAAATCTAAGTACTACAAATGAGGTTCAAACCTGACACCTATTGGTTAAACTCTAAGTCATCGAATCTACTAAATATACTACTTCATATTCACAAATAGTCAATACTATTTTCATTCTCATCCGCTAAAGTTAAAAACCAAATGTCACGGAGAATTAAAGAAAACTAGTATATTTTAAATCAGTTGAACTCTTAATTATTGTTTCCGTTACTTGTTACAATATACAATAAACAAATTGGAATTAATTTTACTGTCAGAAGGGATTCTCGATGCAATTTATAATGTATTTAATGCAATCAGATGATTGATAGTAGTATGTTATTGATGTTTTCTCGTTCTTTGAGTTGGATTTAACCGAGATTTCGATCAGTTGGAAGAATACGCTGTTAATTAAATGTTAAGAAATTTAGATAGCTCACTTCCATCTGAACTCTATGACAATAATGTTGTCAATACCAAAATCACCTTTCTGAGCTACAAATCTTGATCATCTCAAGAGAATAGTCTTGCAGAAGGGAACTTATATTAACTTGGAAGTAACAGATCATTTGTATTTTTACTTATTCTAATTTGTTAGCGTTTTTTCTCTTTCTTTTCTATGTTCACAATGATCGTTTTACATCAATTGAATGACGATAATACAGAAATCATCCTTAACACGTTTGAATATATTTCAACCAAATTTGTATTTATATATTACTATGAGTGATCAGAATAAAACTGAATATCCTACACCATTTGGTATGGTAGTCAGGGTAAGTATATCATTTTTATAATGGATAATTTTTTCTTCATCAAAACTGATCTATATTCAAGAGAATAAGGATAAAGATTGGGTTTCAAAAGAAAAATAAGCGATGGCATTCAGTTATGATAGTGGAGGAATATTGTAAACTAATGTAAATTGTTGTAACAAAGTTTTCCGAATTTCAAGTTAATGTTCAATAAGAACTGACTTCAGGTGGAGAGCTCTTGAGAAGCTAGGAAAAATGGATTATCAAGTTTTTCTTGATTCGGGGCTTATTAGCTGTGTATACCCGTCTTAGAGTAGAATACAAGACAGTCAAAAGTTGATGTTAACTGGAAAAAAATGAGCCAGTAGGGAATAGTCCACAATTTTAACTTCAATTAGTTAGTTGAACAGAACGAAAAATGGTTTATTATCACCAGTGTTACCTATATCACCTTAAAATTAATGTGATCCGTAGTCAAGTAAATATATATCATGTCATCATCTAACTTATCCAAAGCCTTCAAATGAATTCTTATTAGAGAACAGAGAAAACAGTGGAGACTAACACCACTCTAGTAAAATATCAAACACGAAAAGATACAGGATTAAAAAATAGTATTTGATGTAATTAGAAGGTACTGATTCTCTAGGTTAGTTAACTTGGCCATTAAGTTTAATTTTTGCCTACAATAGCACTGACTTTAAATCACGACTTATAGTTTGTCGCAAGACTGTAGACATTCATGTTTATTATAGTCTAAACTGTATTATGCACATATAATGAATATATATCACCATAATTGTAATTCTTTCTAAGCTTCCATTACATAATTGCTAGTAATACACCTACGTAGAGTTTTCTCTGTACCTGTTTTATTATTATTTGTTGAAAACACTCAACCTAGGTATTGTTGTATGTACCGACGGACTTCAAAGATCTATTACAGAAACAAAAAAGTATAACCATATTATCTCCCTTTGTTTAAATAGGTAGATTCCACTTAATGAAAAATAAACTTTGATTAGCTGTCAATGTACTATTGTGTTTACAATATATATTGTAGTCTGTTCGGTTGTATTAGATGGGCATATGTAGCTTCATGAAAACATGATCGCATGAAATATGTCGGCTTTTTTCAAAAAATGTATTTTATTATTTCTGTAAAACCTTGAGCGGAATTCTCAAAGGATTAATTTTATTTAATCACAGTTCATTTTGTCTAATTATGTTAACATGTTTACTTAGGATCTTTTCAAAGCATTTCCTACAGACCCATCGGAAAAGTTTGCATTTATTCCTCCAAGTTTACAAAGAATTAACTGCTCTTAACGTTGTGTTCTTACGTTATTTTCAGCCTCATTCAACTCAGCAGGCAGATTCTCGTTTAATCATTGAAATGTGTGCTATCAATGAAGAATCATGGAAGAAATGGTATTCCCTACTTCGTATTGCTTTGGTAAGTTTCATATGTGTGACAGCTTCCTAAATTCTATTCTATAAACCAAACAACCTGATAGCATGATTACAAATTTAATTAGTTTTACGCCATTCAACCTTTCTGCAGTAGACACTGATGATGTTTCGTGAAACAACAATCAAACCATTTTAATTGGAATTAACTAGTTTGAAATAAATCTTTTTCATCACTTTGACTGTATAAATTTAAAATTAACAAAATCTTTTAAACATAACGACTCAGCAGTTACCATTACCTAACTGTAGATTAAGCGCTTTTATTTATTTATGGTATTCTTCAGGTTAAAATAGATTGATTGAGTTAGAATAGACAATCAATCACCTTGATACCGAATTTCAAAGTCAATCACCAGATTCCAATTGTATGAAACCCGACCGAAGCTGCTACCTTGACGCGGTGGTCGGGCTTGCCTATCGTGATGACCCAACCGAGCCATATTGGCTGGAACATATGTTCCTGTAGGTTCTACCATGCCAGGCAGGTCGATTGGGAACGGTAAGACTAAAAGCAGCAACTCAAGGTCTGAGGGCGAAGTCGTACTGCTGACTGTACAGAGGTGTGACAGCAGTAAGGTGTTTCCTTCAGACAACCAGCATCTGCAGCGATGCTGCTTTCCCACAAGAAGGGGTGGGGTTAGAAAAGGTCGACCCTAAAAATGTCACACCTCACCTTACCTCACGGATTTCCGTCTCTGGCGGTAAGGCCCTTTGAAGAACGGAGCTAACACGTTAAAAACCTTCCACAAAAAGGCCGTGCGAGACCGGCCTCAAGCAGTTGTCCTTTGGGCTCTGCGGTCACGCTCCCAGGTCGTCATGATCAACACTAATCCAATTTCCTTTTCAGGTTCCTCAAGAAATACCCTTCCACGGTGTGAGCAGCCGGGAAGTGATATCAGCCCTCATACCGTAACAGCACACGAGAACAAGTTTGTCACATTCAAATCATTCCTACACCTCCTAATACCTCTCTTATCTCCATGACTAACTCTTCTCACATCTCTTTATCACCTCGCACCGCTAGGGCAAACGATTCGAGTACGCGGAACGTTATTCCTGGTCTCCTGAAACCACGCTCTAAACTACACGTAGGAGCTTCTAACGTCCGAACACTGAGCCAAATAGGACAACAGGCTTCCTTAGCTAGGACTTTAGAATCCCGCACCATCGATGTATGCTGCGTCTCCGAAACACGCAGACAGGATCCGAGTAGCGTCATCTATTTGACCTCACCATGCCAAAATAAAGAATCGACTCGATTCACACTTCGTGTATCTGGAAGCCCAGACTCTGCTTCCTGCGGCCCCGCCGGCGTAGGTATAGCGTTGAGTCCTAGGGCAGAACTAGCTCTCTTAGAGTGGATCCCAGTAGACAGTCGTTTGTGCGCAGTTCGACTGAACGGAACAGTAAGAATCCGGAAAGATAGGGACACTCGTCGTTGCCTCTTCGTCGTCTCTGCCTATTCTCCCACTGACTGCAGCTCAGATGATGTAAAAGATGAGTTTTACAGAAAGCTTTCAGACCTTCTCCGAAAAGCTAAGCGCTCGGATGTAGTAATAATGGCCAGTGACTTTAATGCTCAAGTAGGTAAACTAAGCGATTGGAAAGACACCTAGGTGGATCTTATGGTGTCGTGGCTCAAAGAACAGATAATGGCGACCGTCTGTTGCAACTATGCTCAGATAACCGCCTGTTTCTTGCAACTACTAACTTTAAGCATAAGGAAAAACGTCTTTTAACATGGCGACCCCCTAATTCGTCCCAACGTTGGACCCAAATAGATCACATCGCTATCAGCCACCGATGGAGGGGCTCGATAGAAGACTGTCACTCATTCTGGAGCACATGCTTAGATTCAGATCATGCTCTAGTACGAGCGCGTATTTGTCTTCGTCTTACTGGACGTAGGAAAGACGCTGCAAGGAAACCCTTAGGGCCTACTTAATGATAGTCAAGCTATGAGTATATTTCAGGAACAACTAGGAAAACAGTTAGGCAGCCATGTATGTGATGTCCACCCTGAGGCTAGTAAGGTAAACCAGAAGGTTAGGGAGCAACACTGGATCTCAGCAGCATCTATCGCACTGATAGATGCTCGGAAACTCATTCCACCTGGCTCTGAACATAATGAAGAGCGGAGTCAGCTTAAGCGCAAGCTGACAAGAAGTCTACGCAATGATCGCGAACAGTGGTGGGTAGCGAAAGCAAGAGAGATGGAAAAGGCAGCGGCAATAGGTAATAGCAGACAATTGTTCAGACTCGTTAAGGAAACCGGAATTAGGAACCCGACCGTTAGCGAAACAATCTCAGAGAAAGATGGACATATTATTCATTCTCAATCCAGGAGATTGGATCGATGGGCAGAACACTTTAGGGATCAGTTCAACTGGCCTTCAGCCACACTTCGGTTTCCCACGATCTCTAGTCAACCTGAATGGCAAGTTAATGTAGGTCCTCCGTCCTTTACGAAGTTGAAAAAGCCATAGGAAATCTGAAACGAGGGAGAGCAGCAGGCCCTGACAGGTTTACTCCTGAGATTTTTAAGGATGGTGGTCCAGTATTAGCAATGAGATTAACTGAGGTCTTAGGTAGAATTTGGGAACTGGACGTAATCCCATCTGACTGGTCTCAATCACTGATTGTGCCAGTCTATAAGAAAGGACAAAAGTCCTCTTGTGACAATCACAGAGGAATCAGTTTGACTAATATAGTGTCTAAAATATTAGCTTCAATAATACTTCGACGCCTAACAAAGCTCGTGAAGAGCAGATTAGAGAAAACCAGGCCGGTTTTCGACCTGGACGTGGTTGTATAGATCAGATATTCACACTACGTCAGGTTCTAGAACACAGACACACATTCAGACGCCCCACAATGGTAGTATTTCTCGACCTTAAGGCGGCATTCGACTCTGTTGATCGTGAGGTTCTATGGCAGTGTTTGTCACTGAAAGGAGTACCAAAGAAGTACATTAACCTTATAAAGGCTCTCTACTCGAACACAACTGGTAGAGTGAGAGCTTATGGCGAACTGTCATCAGAATTGATTACCTCAAGTGGTGTTCGTCAGGGCTGTCCACTCTCCCCATTCTTGTTCAACTTTGTGGTCGACGTACTTTTAGAGATAACACTCTCCTCATCTAAATTTCCAGGGGTTGAACTTCTACCGGGAGGTTCACTTGTTGACTTAGAATATGCTGATGACATAGTTTTATTTGGTGAAGACGCTGACAAAATGCAGAGTCTTCTGACCACTCTAAGCAACAATGCAAGCATGTTCGGGATGCGATTCTCTCCCTCGAAATGCAAAATGTTGCTTCAGGATTGGGTTACATCGACACCCGAACTAGTGATAGGGAGTGAAGTAGTTGAGTGTGTCGACCGCTTCACTTATCTTGGAAGTCTCATCAGCCCTTGTGGTTGGTGTGTGACGAAATCTCAGCACGGATACAGAAGGCTCGACTAGCTTTTGCCAACTTGCGTCATTTATGGCGTAGGCGAGATATCCGTCTATCAACCAAAGGACGTGTTTACTGCGCAGCAGTTCGTTCCGTCCTACTTTATGGCAGTGAAACATGGCCGGTAAGAGTAGAGGATATCGTAGGTTACTAGTATTTGATCATAGGTGTCTTCGAAACATTGCTCGTATATCATGGGACCATCGAGTAAGTAACACAGTTGTTAGGAAACGGGTACTAGGTAAGGATGGCAAATCAATTGATGAAGTAGTGAAACTTCATCAGTTGAGATGGCTGGGACACGTGTTACGTATGCCCAACGACCGACTGCCTCGACGTGCTATGTTCAGTGGTATAGGAGTAGGTTGGAAGAAAGCTAGGGGCGGCCAAACCAAAACATGGCACAAGTCCATGAAGTCACTGACAAGTGAACTGAGTCATGTTGGTAGGTGTAGACTACCTGGTTGGGGACCGCGAGATGATAGCAACCGATGGTTAGAGACCCTGAATGACATGGCTCAAAATCGTTTGCAATGGCGCAGGTGCATCCACTCTTTGTGTTCTCCCAAATTCTAATCTCCTTATTCCTCCTTGTCTCTTTTTTTTCTCTTTCCAAATTTATTTCACTGGATTATACTCTTTAAATAACATCTCCAAACCCTAATCTTCCCGATTACTGCTTATACTCTTATTACCTCTACCACTACGGGATTTGAATCGACCACTGCATCTCTGTGCTAATGTGGTGTGGCAACTCGAACTGATGTACGTACGTACGAAGTTCTACGTTGTTACTGACTGACTGACTGACGGAATTGTATGAAAGTTTAATTCTAGAAAAGTGTATGTTTATGTCAGAGTTCATGAAAACATTTTATATTTGCTAATCAAGGAAACACTCAACAAAGTGATAACAGTATGAATATATGGTATATATATATATATATATATATATATATAATAACTTCATCAGTAGTACTTCTCACAATATGGGAAGGTAATTCATGAACGGTATTTTCATGAATGTGATTGATTTACATCCAATTTTTATTAAGAGGAAACACCGATTTAAGAAAACCACCAGAAACAGTGTACCATATACAACCAAGTTATTTAAATTAAATGTTCCAAGGTAGGCATACAACAGTGATTGTAATGGAACGGTGGAGTTCAAAATTTTGACCAGTGTGGTACAGTTCAACACGATTGATATAAATGAAAGTTAAAAATAATTAGCAGTCCCAGAGCTAATTAATATTTATCAGTATTTAAAGGCATAAAAGACTTTTATAGATTTCCTGTAAAAAAATTATGTCGTTATAGATTATCACCAGTTAGGAAGCTATCGTAAACCAATAAGTTTATTTATTTCTTTGAACACATAAACATTAGCACAAGAGAGCACCAAATACATATGCGTCATACACTAACAATGAGGCCAGTAGTAGTCATCATTGATTTGTGTGAGGGCTGGGATACTGTCCGGTCGCTCAGACCGAATCAGATGGTTTTCTTAGGGGCAACTTCCTGAGCCTTTGACCTGAAGGTCTAGTCCACAAGACAGTGGAGCAACTTTAGAAGATGTAGTCCCATGGTAGCCAATGACCAACGATAGGTTCATACGCCATTTGTTCCTTCAGAATCCTGTGATCTATATGTACCATTTATTTGGAATCAGGGTTTTCTAACTCCCCTAGGTGAATTCTCCGTATCCACCAATCCGGTTAAAGCCCTGAATATTCACTTTTCAAAATGTTAATTTCGTAAATAACAGTAATACAGCAAGAAGCCAGTGACTAGTATTTCCTTGGAAGTGTCTGTATACATATAGTCATGTGAGAGCATTTTAAGAGGGCGAGTGATCTCTCCCCACCCTCAACCGTACCAGGATGGCAAAACAATGAATACTAACTAAGTGATTTCTTTTATTTCGTATCTCATCTGATAGAAACAGTGATAATATCACAGAAGATTTAAATCAAAAACATTCAAATCTCTTTTTAATTACAATATCAATAAATTACTGAATGGTCATTCGATAATCACATTTTCCAACTATCTTTAATTCAAATATAATTTACATCACATTAATTATATTCTATAGGCTAAATGATCAAATCTATCCAATTTCATTATTTAAAAAAAAAGGGTATTTATTTCAGAGAAATAAATGAAGTGAGATATTACTATAGTTTTTTTTAAAATAAATATTATATCTATATGCTGCCATATTATTATTATCCTATTAAATCATACTCACGCCCAATGAATTTGTTTGTTTCTAATTCAAATAAACGTAAAAACTGGAAGGATAATGTAGGTGAGAGAAGAAAAAAAAGAATTCAGTGAATAAATATGATTCAATTAGAATGAGAATAGAGAAATAATCATAAAACTAATTCATTTACTATAGAAATAATGATAATAATAATAATAATAATAGTAGTTATATCAGTAGTATTTAAGTGTATATGATTAGTATTATGTCTCAGAACAAATAAAGCATTAAGTTAATATATTGAAATTAGAGATTATATATATATATATATATATATATATATATATATATATATATATATATATTGATTATTTCTTATTATGATTATTGTTAGTATTATATTGTTGATATATAAATAAATGATTAAATTGCCTACTGTCAATATTTACTGAAGCATAATATATTCTATTATTCTATAATGGCAAAAACAAAACAAACCTTACAATTAATTGTTTAAAATAATGAGTTTGAGAAATAGAAAAGTATCAGGTCACATTTTTGAGGTAATTGTAAATAAGAAATTAAGATTGAACTCTCTCTTTCTCTCTCCCTCCCTCCCTCCCTCCTCTCTCTCTCTCTCTCTCTCTCTCTCTCTATATATATATATATATATATATATATATATATATATAATCAGTATTAAGGGTATGTGTTATAACTTGTGAATCTGTGTGCCCTGTATATTGGATAACGCAACGATACCGCCAATCAGAGAGCAGCGACGCTTAAAACACGTGCGAGCAACCTAGAGTCCTGATTGGCCCCGCTTCCTGTCTAGCCCAGCCAGTCAAGTCCAGAACACCAATATCAGCCTCTGCAATATGAATCACTTACTTCAAAAATACGGGATTTATATACCAATCAAACAGACCACAACGTACCATAAAATAGAAAATTACATTTGTACAATAACTGGCCAAAAGAGGCTGTGAATGAGGGAGATAGTAATTAATAGACAGGCCATAACACAAGAATGCTAAATCGTATAATAATGTTTCATAGGTCAAAATAAAACTCATAATGAGAGGAACATGAATATGAACAGTTTAGTTACATGACAATTATACGATAAAAATATACTCATAGTATTGGTCCACAAATGAATCCCCAAAATTACCATTCCTTATTCTTATCGAGATATAACAATGTGATTGGAAGACTATTGGTAACCAGGTAGCATTGGAAATCCTTCTTGCCCTAATATAGTATTCCTTGGTAGTGTGTACCACTAATCTTACCGGTGGTCAAACCTAGGACCTTCGGGTCTGACGGTGAGCTATCAGTGATGAAAAAATTCTTTGAGATGAGAAAGTTCTGCGATTCACTTAAGTAAAACGTTCGATCAATGTTAACTATGATTAGTAAAGAAAATCTAAGATATTAAAAATAATATTTACATCATACAAGAAACGAAAAGGCTTATACAAGCAAACATTATTGTATTAATTTCGCTTTTATACGTGTTTTTATAGCATTCGAAAACATAGAAAACTTTCATCAGTTTGGAACACGTTAACTATGTAATCAAACTATCTATTAATCTGATGAATAAGACATTATTATGTGTGAGCTAATAAAACAGTAGTAACCAATCACTCATTCTTAATCAGCTGTTATTGTGTTCATGAAAAACATAGTAAGCATAAAAATAAAGTAAACCAAGTAATCTTTGAATTCCTCTTGTATTGTTTGTTTGAATCCTGCCATTGATGTTTAGGACTGCAATTGATCAACCTCTTATTGGCATATGTGCATGCTGTGCGGATCGCCTCGATATTGCTTTACGTCACAAGCACTATAAGCAAATATGGATAGTGGTTAGCAGTGAAATCCACGACGCGCACTTCGTCAGTTGGATGTACTTGCGTTCCAGAGTTGATATTCACTCCGGGACCCTAGGATGCAGGTACATCTAGCTAATGAGTCTAAAATAAAACGAAACGTGCGTCCTGGATTCCACTGGTAGCCACCATTCATCTTTGCTCATAAGTAATCTTTGAATTTAGTGTTTAATCTGAAATTAGTTTGGTGTCCTTGGAATGGATGTCTAAATGATTGATTAATCACAGTTGAAAATGTAAACTGTTAAATCATTTGATACCAGAACAGTTTGCGTTTATAATTTCGAAAATGATTTGTACACTTCTACTGATCTGTTATGAATTTGTTTCATTGAATAATTAGACCTTATTTTGCTTTACAGATTGGAAAACGATTGTACACAAATTATGTAGTTAGGAAAGACACTGTAAAAATTCACCGTGAGAATATTTCTCATTTAGATTATTCAATAAGAAATTCTTCCTGTTTTAACTCACTCAATGATAGACCTATATCTTCAACAGTATCGGAATTAGACAGTGATCATATATTAGGGGATCTGCATTCAATCGGTCCTAATTATAAAACTAATTCAACTGAAATGGAATTCCCGCCAAAATCAGGTAGTTATAGTGTAACTGATTTAACTAAACCGATACAACTTGATAATCATATGAGTAATGGACGTCATCAACAATCGAATGGAGCATCAAGTTTAACAAGTCTTACACTTTATCCAATTCAAACACCACCACAAAAATCAATAAATCGTCAAAGTCGATTAGATAAACAAAATATTAAATCAGTTAAAAAACGTATTTTCGGTAATGGACCATCTGCACGTCGATGTACACGATCTATTAGTCAAATTAGTTCACCATTTAATATCAGTTTACCATATTGGATACGTGCAAGTTATGAAGATAAAGTGAATGAAACATTTAATGAAACAGTATTATAATAATAATAATAAATAGTATTATTCATATAAAAAGAGAAATACAAAAACCTGAAAGTGAATATTGTTTGCATAAATTTTAACATTATGAAATACTATCCATTTTTCATATAAATATGAATGCCCCATTTAACTCTAATTCAAATCGTATACATGTCGACTACACGTCGACTACAATACATTTTCTGATAAATCTATGCATATAAACAAATTATACAAGTTTATTATCAGAAACACTGACTAGAAATATTTTGGAATATCATTATTTTCTTTCTTTTTTCTCTCCATAAATGTACTGAAATACTTTAATTTCTAATGTAAATGTCATTTTTGTACTGTCGTTATCACGTGAAATAGATTTCTCTAAGATTGACTAAAACCTATCAAAAACTATTATTATTATTATTACTATTACTATTATTATTAATCTGTCTGTAAATATTCAGATGTATGTGCAAATATGTGATTTAACAGAGTAATTTCTATAAAAAGATTTCTTTTTCTTTTTCTATCGAAACATCAAAGATTTTCAACACTAACATGATTATATTACTTAATAAAACTACTTACAATGTAACATCAATAACTATCATTATATATATATATATAGACCTCCCTTTCAGTGCGAATAGATACTCACACATACATATATTTACCAAATTTTATTAACTATTTTCGAAAGATATTTTTCCCTTTTCTTTTTGTTGTTTTCATATACTATAAATTAATACTTATTAGAGTTTAATTATATGAAAGAAAAATGATTTTTTATAAATATAAATAATAATGTAATTATGAGAAATTGTTCAAGAAGATACTATGTACACATATAAAAGAAGAAGAAAATGATTTCTTTTTCTTTCAAAACAACACATGAACTGATTTTCAGTTGTAATTGTCCTTCATTTAATACTACCACTACAATTACTTCTTCCAATTCCTATAGACTTGAAATGGATTTTTATAGTTTGTAAATATAAACAAAAATAGTAACAATGATAATTGATCAATAAATTGAATTATTATTATTATCATTATCACTTTTAGTTTTTGAAGTATATTAAATGAATAAAGTGAGTATTAGTTATATGGAACTAGAATTCGGGCATATACAACTGATAATTTCTATTAGAATGGGACAAGTGTCCTGAATTTCATCAAGTGACTCACAAAAGTGTGGGTCTGTGTGCATAAACTTGACTTCTATGGAAAATCGAATATTATAACGTAAAATGGTGAGGTGTTAGGATATCAATAACATAAATAAAAGATCAATTGTGAGTAAAATACTATATTTAAATAAATAAATAGGAATAAACTTACAGTAAGCGCTTTAGATTAGAAAACAACAAAAATGTAAGGATGGGGCTTCGATTAGGAAGCAAATCAGTCATTAAAGACTGATTCCAGAAGGTAGCTCACCGTAAGAGACAAAGAGAGGATGGATATTATGACAAGTAGAATAAATAACTGGAACATAAGGAATATATGTGATAAGTGTTCTAGTGCAACAAAGTGGCATCGATTATTAAAAAGGAAAAATTTAGAGATGAATTATCATAACATGAATCCCATACTATTAGTAAGTAGTATAGAGTAATATACTAAAATATCACGCGACGATGTTAGGGAATAGAAAAATAGTAGACCGATTCAGTAGTGATAATTCGTTAACGGATGGAAAAGTTAGCAAATTTGAATTATTTAAAGCTAATATACTTCAATTATTAAAAACTCAAACGCTTTACTTTAATAATACCGATCATTAATCAATATTAACGTTACTATCTTGACTTCTTGTAGAATACCAAAGATACACGAATGATAACCGAAACTATAAAAAACATCAATTATAAACCTATTGAAATTGGATTGACTATAAACTTGTAAAATAACTTTTTTAAATCCTACTTCAGATTGACGTAGGAGCTGATAATGATAATGGAGATTATGATGTAGTACATACCGATAATGAAATATTTCCAACTTAGTTATTCAGTTTAAGTAACATAACATTATAAAAGGCATCAGTACTCATTGGATAAGTTAATCGCAGTTTGGACGTCAATGTTTGAAGTGAAGGTACTGGATTAGAGTTGTAATGCGAACATCAACGTCGATATGAGTAAATTCAAAATACGATCACTGAATTTCATTGTTTGCTAAAATCTATTTATTCTTAAGATTATCCAATAGTTGAAAGATTTAATTTTCTTTCTACGAGTTTTACCAGCCAAGAATGAAGAAAATAAAACAGTTACTCCATTGTAACTCCATAATATGAATATTTCTTGAGGTATTTACTTAATATGAGATAGAATTAGAACAAAATCACAATAACTTATTTTATTATACTGAAAGAGTATTTTGAAACTGTTACTTCTTTCCCTTGTGTATGTTGAAGCCTACTGATACAAAAGCTGCTGCTTCACTGTTTGTATTAACCTGCATTTGTTGATGTGTATGTGATAGAATAGCTAGGTCATCTGTGAAGTCCAAATCTTCTAGTTGAATTTAAGCTGTCCATTGTATTCCATGCTTCTTTTTAGATTTGAAGTTTTTTATAATCCAGTCAACAATCAGACAAAATAGTTGTCCAGTACCCTAGCTTTATAGTGATAGACTAACTAAAAGCAGCTCATGATTTATAGTATGAAATCCAACAGTATCTACAAATCCCATGTACTAATATTCTCTATTAGTTAAATAAAAGAATAAACAACCCTATTTAATTACTGACTACATGTACATTGAAATGTAGAGTCACTGAGACTCAAAAAAATTGCCTGGGCAATTCAAATATTCTAGGTCAATAAAAAGCGGAAAACAGAGCTGCAGAATCATAAAATATACCTTAAAAATACACAAAACGAAAAAATTAGTTCGATCAATTAAATACATTGACCTAGAATTATTTGTTCTTATTCAATCATTTTCGAAAAGCGTTTCGATTTATGACACTCGTATAAGTTGACCAAATACATGACTTTTCATGAAGCTTTATTATGATAACGTATGAACTGTATAACTAAATACACATGTTCAATTGAATATGAAGCCTACAATTATGAATAACAAATAGGTTTGATTAATCGACAAATGTTAATATATATATTTATATAGGTATATTATTAATACTACCATATATTAATTTTATTTAATAATGGGTAACAATAAAATTGACGATACAGCTTTCATCTAATATATGATCAAACAAAAGTAGTGTCAGTTGCCATATTGAGCCCACAATGGTTATTCTAGCTTCCGGACAGGCCAATTTATTCAGTCTTCTTGAGTCACGTTTTGACCTTGGTAATTATTCGCTTATCAACATTAACTGTTTTATATGAGCGAATGTGAGTGCATATCTTATCCTACTCATCACATATCTTTAGCTTATTTTTATCTGACTCTAAATATCGATTGACGCTTGATTAAATGGAGTTAGCTCACATGCCTTCACCGTGCATCATTTCGTTTTGCTTCGCTTTCCGACCAAAGATTGTACGAAATATACGTAGTCAAAAATCCATTCTCGTATTTGGCTTATTTAATTCCATTCTTTGCCAAAGCGAGGTAAGTCAATGATTATATACAAAGATTGATAATATGTGCATTTCAATAAAAATCAGCATGCAGTCCAACTGGAGTCAGATTAAGTGCCACTAAGAGGAAAATGTGTGGCATGTAATAGAAACACGAACACCTATTGGTATGCAGGTAAGTTTACCAGCCGAATTCAATCGTTGCAAAATGCACTTTAAGAGTAGGATCAAAGCTGCTATTCAATTCACATGAACATAAATGTACAACGTAAAAAGTAAGTCACTTAACTCAGAATTCCATTCAATCGCATATCATGTCAAGTATATCTTCAACGATCAAACAGTTCAACGCAACCATTTAAAATTTAAACGATCAGAATTCAAATATTTAACACTGACAATGTCTACCACATTATCCTTTTATTGTATCAAAATTTTCAGAATAAATATTTCTGTGCAGGAATACTGACTGTCCTGGTCACTAGGATTAGATAAGCTGCGTTCATAAGCCAATGTGTTGTTTGATTGTCACTTAAGAGTTTAACTGTTAAAATAGTGGAATCGAACGCACTATCATCATAAGGGATTAAGAATCCCTGCCACTGATGATTTTCAGCTGACGGATATCAATTGAGGTACAGTCCACTACTAGGTACCTTTTAAAGGAATATATATATATTCCTAAGCATTTAGTGCAATTATACAAGCTACTTAAATAAATACTAAGTAACATAACTATAGATACTATGGCAACAGATATTTAAATGCTTTAAATAGATTTATATACAACAAAGTTCTATTTGGCGCATAGGTATGGTTTCAACGAATAATTTAGACTTTTAAATATAGGACATGATGAGAATTTATTGAAAAGAATATTTTGCGTCTTGATAAAATTAGGGATTGTTTACTGTAAATATCATAGAAATGTAGGTAAATAAATACAGAATACCAACTGATTCATGAAAAGAAGAATGTGGTCGACGGAGATAAATCAGCGAAAAGGCGTCTCTTCACACTGAACCACTATTTTATTCTCAAAAAGCCGGATAAGTGGGATATAAAGGATCACCACTTGTCCGTGGCAATCAAAACAATGTGGAAATATTCATATTGCGCCTAAAGAACCAGTAATCTATATGAATCTAAAATGGATCACGGAACCCTAATGAAAATTGTAAACAGGCTGTGGTGTCTAGTACCATGTAAATCTTAAATGAGTCATCCTTGCTTCTAGACAGTCCAATATATTTATTCTTCTTGAGTCACATTTTGACCTAGTCAATTATTTGCCTATCAACCTTGACTGTTTCTAAATGAGTGTATGTAGGTGTGTCGCTTACCTTATTCATCACACGTCTTCACCTTATGTTTGTCTGGCTATAAATATTGAGTCACATTTTACCAAGTGCACTTGCTGCACTTGCATCCTCTCATCTGCTTCCTCGTTTTGTTTCAACGGTTGTCTGTCTGGGTCAACACTTGCATGAAATATACATATCCAAGACTCATTCCCGTATTTGACTTATTTTATTCCGTTGTTCTCTAACATGATAATTATATATGACGGTAGGGTGCATGTATATTTCGTTAACATTATCGTACTATCGAACCCGAGTCAGATCAAAGGGCCAAAAAAAGGTATCGAAAATAACTAACACCCCCCTCTATTCATTGTTGACTAAGTGTCAATAAGTAATTTCAATAAACTGTCATGTATGAATCTAGTCTCGCTTCCTCTAAAAGAGATACTTGATCATTACTCAAAACAATATGATAAATAAGGTAAGGTTATCAGCCAATTTTTCTTGACCTTCAAATTGATTCTCTGAGTAATACGTGAGAAGCTGTGATCAGTATAGCCATCCAAAATATGACAGTCGCAGCTACGACACACTGAATATACCTGGAAATATGGACCAGAATATTTGACTCTATAATATCCTACTCCCCTAATGATCTTCACATCACGAGTTCCGTTTTGTAGTCTCACAATGCACAATTACGAAGTGATCTGACCCTGCACGAAACGTTTTTCCAGTACTCTACAATTTTCAATATTTATCTATTCAATGTCACTTCATGATTTAAAAAATACCGAAATAGGAAAGACTGGTTCAGTGAAGGGTTCTCTTTTCGGGGAATTCATTTTCAAAGCCATACGATAGCAAATATATACTTGTTTTTCAAAACGGTGATGTTAAAAATAATAGTGGTAACATCAACGTAATTTACAGATAAAAGGATGGTATAACAATAAGATCACCTCTTAGTCGATTTGAAAAACAAGCAATTGAAAACTTACGCCTTGATTATTTTTGATAATTAATATGATTTGTTCCGACTTCTACAGACATTTAATAACTGCTACCTGCCAACAAATTTTACAATCGACGTTGAAAATAAAGTTTTAAATTTTATGGTATTGAAATGACAAGAAAACATGATGGAACTCTAGAAAAATCAATCTATATAAAACCCTCGTGCAG